TCCCCCCCCCCCCCCCCACTTTTTCGTTGTCCGACAAAAGATACTGTGTTGTACCTTGAATACGGGAATTTTAAATCGTGAAATTCGATTTCTGCTAGGATCAGGAAGGCTTGTCACCGACCAGAGTTACCAGTTCAGCAATTCAACATTAGTGGCCATCAGGTCTTGTCCTGACAAACTGCTCTTGGAAGCATTGACCAGGGGCCGTATTCTATTATGTTCTCAAGTGCGATTTTCCTCTTGGAAAGTTGCTTAGTTGGTATTTGCCCCATTCAAATGCATGGCCGAGGTTGAGCTATTAGCTTAAACTAAGTTTAAGATATTAATAGAATACGGCCCCAGAATATTAGCCGAGCGAGTGAAACGTTTCATGTGACTATCCCTCTCATCGTATTCTCCTCCCAATCCCTCACTGCCACGTCCTCCCCCCAACAGTCGCCGAAAGGAAGCCCAGGACTTGTCCAGCTCGGTCCTCCTAATCTGCGATGCTGTTCCCGAGTCTGCCCCAAATGCAGTGGGGGGTGGAGGGTTGTGGCAATATATAGGATGAAACCTCCAACGTTCGGACAGTTAAGTTGGGGGAGTCTTGTGATTCGTTCGTCATATGCCTACGTGGTAAGAGCTGAATGCGTCATTTTTTGGAGATTGAGCGCACGATATGATTAGGTATGAGTGTAACAAAGACGTTGTCCTTCAAAGACATTATATTCAATATTGCCGATTATGTGGGAATCCGGGAAAAAGACGGAGTTCAAAGACGACTTGGTTTGGACACTCCAGAGGCACAGGCGGAGATCTGCACATAGCACGTTTATTAATTGTAGCAACGCCATCAATATATGCTTCCCAAGTTTCTTAGTAAGGTCGTCTACGTACGTTTTCTCTGTCATTTTTTCCCTTTTTGGCGAACAAGGCGCAACATTTTGGGGAACGAAGTTGGACACCGAATGTCAAGGTCAGTAACATGTTTGTCTTGTGCTGGGAAAAACTCTTTAAAGGCGATCTCGCAAACGCTAATTTTTTAACCGTGTACTAGAGACTGTCCGACCTTAAGTACTGTCCGAACTTCGTTGGTTTTACCCTAAACCGTATTATTGCGTCCAAAAACATTAACCAAAATTCGCCTTTGCGTGCAATCGGACTTCAGAAGACTGCACTTTCCCCACTTGGATGATTCACGTCGTCTCTGGGGCTTGAGTTTACTTTAATTAATGCTTCTGCTCACCAGACCACATCGAGGAACTGTGCCGGCGAGAGGGGGTGGAGTTCGTGTTCTGCTCCCCCGAGTTCAGCGATCGAGTGAAGAATTGCGAAAGCGTGAAGGAAGTGTTCACATTCGGCCCGGGACCAAAGGGGACCGTCGAGGCAAGGACTCTCTACGAGGACGACGAGAGCAGTGAGTTGATGGTTCGGACAGGAGTCATTTGCTTTAAAAGCGGCCAGTGTCGCCCTTCAGGCCGACCGACCCCCGCACCTTCGCCTCGTCTCTCAGATTTCCCTGACCAGTCTGGGATCCGGCCGGGCTCGGACCTCGCAGCGATCTTCTTCACCAGCGGGACGACGGGGCCGCCCAAGACCATCGAGCACACCCACGCCTCCATCATCGCCGGATGCCTCAACGTCAACAGGTCGGGACCCGGACCGGTACAGGTGGGGATAATCCTAGGTGGGGTATCGTGTGAAGCTTTTGACTACCTCAAAGGTGGAACTGGTCCCGCTGGTCAGTGGTGACAATCGGTCCATTTTTTATCGTTACCGTCCTCTCTCTCATATTAGAGAGAGGACGGTAACTTAACCCTCTCAATGTGACTTCGGCCGATTGAACCTAGTCTTTCAGTGCATATTATTCAGGGAAACCTTTCAGGCTAATTTTTATTATTTCACTCTGAAAGTGAACATAGCATCAGATAGTAAACACTCAAGTTTTACTAAGTGTACTCAAATTTTTTCTCTTATTTGTTTTTTTTATTTATTTAAATATTTTCAAGTTTTGCGTTTTTTCACTCATTACTCCTTATATTTGCACGAAATGTATCACAAACAACTTCCCTACAATATGAAGAGTGACAGTTTGAGCACAGAAATGTGTCACGTTTTTTGATACTACATAAAGTACTAATTTTTAAATGTAATATTAGCATCGTCTTTGAAGTGCTAGCGAGAGCTGTCACAGAAGAATACGACCCAAAACAAAATTATTTTTATGTTATTTGTCATATTAATTGCGAAGTTCGTAATTCCTCACATCGCTCCTGGTATTCAAAACATCGGGGCCCGAATAACGCTTCAGAGTCAGTTCCCCCCCGGAAGCCACTCGATTTCTCCGACCCGGGTGACCCCATTCCAGGCAATCGGGGGCTAGAAGCGTGAGGACGGTCTGTCCCTACCACTTCGCGCTCATCTCCGGATACATGACGTCCGTGCTCTCGTTGCTGGGGGGTGTCCACCTCGTCTTCGCTCCAGCCGTCCGCTTTCGCTCGCTCTTGGCGGCCATCCAGCGATTCGAGGTCGGTTCCACGCCTTCGTCGATGATCGTTCGGTGACCTTCGTTCGATGCGTCGATGAAGCCTTTCCGCGGCTTTGCAGCCGAGCGTGCTGTCGGTGACACCCAGGGAGATGACTTCCCTCGCTCGGAGCGACGAGACGGCGGAGTTCAAGCTGGACAGTCTCACGGCCGTCTCTTACGGGGGGACTCATCTCGGGAAGGTGGTCAGGGATCGACTGAAGATGAAGTTCCCGAACGTCAAGGCTTTCGTCGAGGTCTGCTTACTTATTTGTGGTGTCGAAATAGGCCTATTCGTCTGAGTTTCAATCGGATACGAATGGCATCGATCGAACGATTCTGATATTGATAAAGCTCGAATCATACTGATGAGAAACTCTGTCAAAATAAAGCTGCTCGGGATTGGATTAGGTGATTTCCGGAGAGAGTCGAAGTCGCTTGCGAAATTGATGCAGATGGACACGGTATGAGCGCTTCGCCCAGGCCGAATGCGATTTCCGTAGAACAGATATCTTGGACGAGTATTTCCTCTCAAACCGGCATGTGGCTTGCCAACACCAGGAGAGTTTTACTGCAGGAAAAGGGGGGAAATATTGCATGATGAAAAAATTTGAAAGAAATCTTCGCAAGAAATCCTTCAAAACATTAAAAGTCTGGCACGTGAGACTTTCACGACGTGGACAAGCCATTAGTAAGGAATTCGACTCCTTGTTCGTGGAACGTGTCTGAGGAGATTTTAGATTTTTCATGCAAAAGTTTTAATTTTGATCACCACTTCAACTCGAATACGAGAGCAAGGACAACCTGAGAGCTGAAAGTTTTCAAAGGAAACTCGGGCACCAAAAGACAAATAGATTGATCGGATTAACGCGTGGAACCCGACCGATCGATGTCGCAGGCGGTCACGTGATGATAGACGAGGCGGAAGGAGTCTGCTCTCGGTATTCCGGACGATTCCGTTCTGCATCGAATGATGAATCATTTTTGCGATGCACTTTCGATTTGGTTTATTTCTTACCTTGATGTTTCGTGATTTCACATCTGGTCGAAGGTGTACGCCTCGACGGAGGCGGTGGGGCTGGCAGGGACGTACTTCGGAATGATCGGAGATAAGGAAGGATCCGTGGGGCCCCTGGCCCCCTTCACGGAGGCGAAGGTGAGACGCCTCTCCCTTTCCACCCTCCCTCAGCGATGTTTTCCCTTTTCTCTCGACTTTTTCTCTTAGGTGGTGAAGCCAGAGACGTGGGAGGCGCTTGGACCCGGGGAGAAGGGGGAATTGTGCTATCGCACTCCGGCTCTCATGCGAGGGTATCGGTCTCCGGCTGGGGTGAGAGGACGTGACGTCATGATCCGTGATGTCATGATTTACGAGGTCGTGACTGTGATGTTCTCTCTTGCAGTTGACTCAAGAGGTGATCCACGAGGATGGGTTCTACCGCTCGGGGGACTACGGCTACATCGACGAGGACGGATACGTCTATATCGTGGATAGGGTGAAGGAGCTCATCCCCGTGTCGTCAGAGGATGGAAAGAGCATCGTCCTGGTCAGTTATATTCCAATGAGTAGAAATATTCATGATAGCTATGTCGTCGGGAGGACTTATTATTTTCTTTTTTCCTACTTTAAAAAGAAACGATGTGCTCTGGTAATTACAACTGATTTTTTCTAATGAGTACGTGATGAGTTGTTCCTTGAACTCAACCATTTATACTTTTTGCCGTCTCTGCGTTCGCTCGCATTCGGAAAGGCACTGATTCGCCTCATTGCCTGTGTTTGCTCGTCCAGGTGTCTCCGTCGGAGATCGAGGACTGTTTGTACCAACACCCAGACGTGGAGAGGGTCGGTGTAACTGGGATCCCAGTGTCGGCGGAGACTCCGGATACCCAAGTCCCTTGGGCCTTCGTCCAGCTGAAAAATCAGCGATCTAAGTCCACTGAGACAGCTAAGGAACTTCAAGACTTCGTCTCTCGTAAGGAGATGGACAAGTTGCTATAGGGTAAACAGGGTAGTAGTGGACCACCCGAAAGTAATGGACCACTCTAAGGTTTTATTCCTGTAAGATGCAGAAAAAGCTACAGTTGCAATCTTCCCTAATGTTAGCATTAAGAAGTAATGTTCCCCTCAAGGGCTAACAGAAAGCCAGAAAGATTATTTGTGGTTACTAAATTGTCTCTAAGTTTTTGCATAAGTTTTACTTTAGAAAAACTTAGAGACAATTTAGTAACCACAAATAATTCTAAATGTTGCTGGCTTTCTGTTAGCCCTTGACTTCAATACTTCTTATTGCTAACATAAGGGATGATTGCAACTGCAGCTTTTTCTGCACCTTATAGGAATAAAAACTTAGGAGTGATCCACTACTCCCCTGTTTACTCTACTAGGCTGAGAAGAAATGGCTCATCAAAGAAAAATTTTAACGTTGGCTGCCATTGGGATTGGGGCATGGCGGGGTGAAGGAGTATGACGTGCAGCGCTGCCAGATATGGTTTTGCACGAGTCGAGCTAGCAACACTTTCTCTGCTGTCATGTACTGACTCTTTCTTCGTTTGTGGACAATAGGTCCATCTGCCACAACGGCTGGAGGGGACTGACATCTTCGGCAGGTGTCACGACGCCCCAACCATAGAGTAGAGAGTGTAACTAGAGGCGACATTCCGAGGGGTAGGGGAGGGTCGAAATCCAAAGGGATCCATCAACGTAACACGCGTGTCTCGTTGAGTCCGCTGCTCGGCCATGAAGGAGTTGTTGATTTGCGCCCGCTAGGTGGAGGATCGACAGCGATATCTATATTGCGACCCTGTCAATGAATGGGATTCGAGCGGAGTGGAAGCCTCTAGTTGCACACTCAATGGCACAAGATGAGTGATGCGCATGCGTTTTGAGTTCGAAACCCATGAAAGGCTGCTTTTCCTGCTGAGAGAAATGTTCACATTTACAATAGCAATTCCTTTTTTGTGAGAATTTGTCTCAAAACGACCTTAGCCTCATCATGTTCATTTCTAACGGTATAGTGATTGGTATAGCTTCACAGCGATCAGGCCAATGTTTTGTCAGCTACCGTCGGACAAAGGGTGACATGCATCAGATCTATTTAACTTCAACTAATCTGATCGCACAATGGTCCTCTATTGGAATCCGTTTAACAGATACAATCTTCTTCCCATAGACCCCATTATGAAACCAGATCGGTTTAAAGTTAAACGGATCTGGTGCATGTCACCCAAAGTGTGAGACACCCAGACAGGATGGGTAAGTCCTTTAACTCTCTCTTTTCATTTGGGAAAGGAAAGAGCCTATGAAAGAGCGAGAAAAGTGTGCTTCATGGAAACCCGTGCGAGTCCAGTCTCACGCTGCCTTGCCTCCTCCAGTGGGCGACAAAATTCGATTTGAATCTTTGAGATAGGCTGGTGTGAAAATAACGAGGTTGAATTTAAACGGGCGAAAGTCATAGCACCGTAGCAGTTCCTCTCGATGAAAGACGAAGACTCGCCGATGCTATCCCTTAGGTCGACTGAGCGAGGAGCTGTGGCTGAAGGGGGGCGTGGCCTTCCTGGACGAGGTCCCCCTCACACCGGCCGGGAAGGTGAAGAGGAGGGAGCTCCAAGTCCTGTCTCGGGCGTAGTTGCGGGTAAGCCCGTCCTGGGGAATCCCTGGTGACTCGTGGATTTAAAGCTGGTGCGGGTTGCGGAATTGAATGATTTTTCTGCCGGGATGAAACTGGACTGTGTTGAAGCAGTAAGGCCCTAGTTGGACATGGTTGCATTCTTAGTTCTTTCCTTTGGGATGCTGGGCTTCCAGTGAAAACTGTCGATATTGAGAATTGGATTCTGGAATCATTTGGAGCTCGTTATTTTCACTTTCCCACTGGGAAGACCGGCGAAAGAAGTCACATAGAGAAGCTCTAGTTATGACCAAATCGATCTCTTTAACTGGGTTTGTTTGGGAAATTAGTCAGCTGAATGTTCAGGGGAAATTATTGCAGTACGACGACAGACCTGTCAGAAGACGAGAATACATGGGGAATCTCAAGAATAAATTAATTATTAACTGGCAAGTTTCGTGGGGATTTTTCGTGATCGCAGAGAAATCTTTCAAGGACAAAAGAAACTGGATAAACAAAGTGCTCCGGATCGAAAATGTCGCTGAAGGTCATAGACCCGATGAGACTTCTAAAGCTCTTACGATTTTTTTTTTTCAGGTCGCAAGAGCTCTCACCAGACTGACTTCTCTTTTTTTTTTTTTAAATGGGAATTATTTTTTTTATTCCGTAAACCCCAAAAGTTGGACGAGCGTGATTTCAGCTCTTTGTGAGAAAGATTACTGCAGAAAGGAATTTCTAGCAAGCCCGAGAAAGGGAAGGTTTGTTGTCGCCAAACTTCTCACCTTTTTAGATTCTGTTTTCTGGAACACTTTTTTTTAAATATAATAGTTTATTTGGGATTTTTTTTTTTTAAATCGCAATTTCCATCGCTTTTATACAAGTTTTCTTCGGGGTCTCTCGCCTCATCTATCCGTTAAGGCCGATTTAATGAAAATTATATATACATATTATTTTCCTCATTTTCTAATCGTTGAACAATCAAGAATAATGCTTATTTTCCTCATTTTCTAATCGTTGAACAATCAAGAATAATGCGTTTGGCCGGAGACGTAAAAAAAAAAAATTGAGGCGAAATTTTGAATCGGATATGTATTTTCCGAAATAAAGATATATAAAAAGAACACCAACGTTGTCATTTCAAGATTTTCATTTCAAGTCATTTTCCTCATCTGTCTTGGACGGATGAGGAAAATGGAAACAAGGAATGTGAATCAGAGAAATTTAAACTAAATTTTGCTGGAGGTACTCGAAAAATTCTCTGCCCTATTTTAAGGGGAAAAATGTGAATCACAAGAGGTTCCATGTGTATCATATCGGGATGGAGATGCAAGAGACCCTCGAACCCTACATTCGCATTCTGGCGACGGCGTACTCGAAATCGAGAATGTGGGAGAAAACGCGGAAAGGCAAACCCCCTGAGGGTGGGGGTGGGGGGGGGTGGGGTCACAGGGTCTGGCAGACACGTTTCCACGACCGCCTTCCTACTTGGCGCTTGGGACGAAGGCGGCTCGGTGGCAGTCTTGGGCCGGCTTCCGAAGGCTCGTTCTCCGTGGAGTTTTTTCAGACTGGTTCTTGTGCGTGAACCAAGGTGGCATTCGACTTCGAAAAGGAGTTTTGTCGGTTTTAATCATAGTGTGTGACGCTTTTTAACATCGTCCTGGCTCCATTCACCATTTTAAGTCAATATATCTATTATCGAGGAGATGCACACATCCCTCCGCCGCAAGCACGACGTCGAGCAGCTCCACTGTGATCCGTCGGTCGGAGCGGGAAGAGATGCCGTCCGCCCTCCGGGTCTCGTGAAGCTGCGAACCCGGAGAGACTCCAAGCATTTCCCTTGACATTAACCAGGACCGTTACCCTTTTTAAGAGCATCTTAAATTTCCACTATTTCAAAGAAACCAAAATTCTTGCGAGATCTGGCAATGCGGGATTGAAATATTTCGAACTACTCACGTTTGTCGTGAAAGCACGTCCCTCTTTCAGACATTCGTATTTATGAAGTTTTCATATTTAACGTCATCACGCCATAGAGATGAGTGATCGGCTGGGGAAGGCAAGCCTTCGCCTCGTTGTTGATGCTCTCGTGACGGCAAGCGCGGACAGAGGTCATCGCGGCGTTCGCTATCTTTCGCAAGAACATGCTTCATATAAAAATGAAAACATGTGGAAATGAGGGAAAGAACTGTGGAAGACGTTGCTTCACGCCGAGCCTGCTTCTCGGTTTTATTACTGTTTCCCCCCACAACGGCCTGCTGTATAAGATAAACTCTTATCGCCAACGATATCATCGACGAAGGGACCCATGGTGACCGACTGGAAGGATCCCCAGATCGACACCTTTCTTGCTGCGACCAATACGGGCATTGTGCACGTGACCCACTCGCCGCATCTGCCTATGACCCACACGCAAAATGAAAGGTTCGTCCTCCTTGGTTGCCAAAAGTGTGCTGAGAGAGAGGATCTGATGAGTAAAATTTGCAGGTCTGACGAAGAGGAAAGTCCTGTTTCTCAGCTTCATCACCGGCTTCCTTCTGTTCTTTTTCATCAATTTGCTCTCTCACTCTTTTGTGCCTCTTTCCACAGGGTGAGCATCAGAAAATTTCAGTAAGAAAATTCCGAAGGTGAATTCGCGAATGGAAAGGGATAATTCCATGTTCGAGTATGTTTTTGCAGGGCGATGAAGATCAGAAAGTCGGAGCGGGAATTAATGGAGACCCTGGATGAAGCGCTCCTCGAAGAGGAGAGGCTCTATCAAGGTTCGTTTCACCATCAAGAATCCATCATCTTTACCCTTTCTTCTTGGAAGTGTTCCATGCACAGGGGAAGCGAACGCGACGTTGGCGGAGGAGATATCGAAGAAAGTGAGGGTCCTGTGCTGGGTGATGACCCAGCCGGAGAATCACCGGAAGAAGGCCAGACACGTGAAGGCCACGTGGGGGAAGCGCTGCAACGTCCTCCTCTTCATCAGCTCCAAAGAAGGTGGTGGATCACATTTCCATTTTCGCAATGCAGCTTCGTTTCCCTGTTCGATTTGCGCTCTCGTCATCCATTTTTAAGATTCGTCGCTGCCTGCCATTGCCCTTCCCGAGGGCGAAGGGAGGGAACATCTCTGGGAGAAGACCCGCGAGGCATTTCGCTACATCTACCAGCGTCATTTTCAGGACGCCGATTGGTTCTTCAAGGCCGACGATGACACGTGAGGCTTCTCGCTTACCCGATGCTTTCGCTGGCATTTTCTCTCATTTAATGGGCCTAGTAATATAGAAATGTCCATAGTGTAATCTTGCTAGAATTACTTTATATTTCTTAATATTTAGGTATGTGGTTGTAGAGAACCTACGTTTCATGCTGCTATCGTATGATCCGAAGGATCCTGTATACCTCGGATGCAAATTCCAGAAGGACATGAAGTCCGGTTACATGACCGGAGGGGCTGGTCAGTATTCAATCAGATCTCACGGGTTATCATTTCCAGATACATCACCTACCCCAGATAAAGACAATTCAGGAAAATCCCATAATGTGTAGGTTACGTGCTGAGCCGAGAAGCCCTGGACAGGCTGGTGAACAGAGCCTTCCCCAATCCCAGGAAGTGCTTTGACTTTGGGTTACCCGAAGATATATACATAGGTGTGTTTGCCTCCCTCTCCGTGCAACGTTGGAGAACAAGTGAAAACATTTGAATATGGACCTCAGGGGTTCCCCGCCGAAAAGATTTGATGAAAGGCGTACCAGTTTAAAGTAAAGTCTTACTTTGCTTTACTTCAGAGGAAAAGTTTTCTTTAATTCTAAAGGATGTTTTACTATTGAACTGCACATCGTTGGCTCATTTGAACTTCAGGAATGGCAACTGACAATTTATTAGCTTTCATTTGATGTACGACTAAAATTTAGTTGAAGTTTCTGGAAGTTTACAAATATATTTTTGAAAAGTATCAATTATAAAAATTAATTGGTTAAATATGTTTACTGGAGTTGGATGTTTTGTGTGGATGCTCAGGGAAATGTTTGCAGTCGGTCGGGGTTCTCGGCGGGGATTCGCGAGATCCGGAGGGCGGATGGCGCTTCCACCCGTTCGCACCGGGGGATCACTTGGATCCGTTCGAGGAGGATCTAAGGATGCCGGAATGGTTTAATGGATACACGGCTTATCCGCACCAGAGGGGAGTCCACTGCTGCTCGAGCGCGGCCGTGTCCTTCCATTACGTGACGCCGTGGAATATGCACGCTTTGGACTATTTCATCTATAGGCTCAGACCGTATGGCGTCTCGCCCATTTTTTCGTTACCGGACCCAGTGAAAAGTATGTCTGGAAACAGGACTGATGTTACTTCTTCGAAGGAAAGTGTCCAGAATGACCCCACGAGAGAGTTTGAAGGAAGCAAAAGTGATGATGTATTAACAATTGTTTGAGGGTAATCCTAGATGTGGCAAAATTTCGGCTTACGGGCAAGAGAAACGTATAGTTTGTTGCCACTGAAGGTTCATATCAGCTACAAGAAGCAGATCCTATCTCTTGGTCTTCAAACACCATGATTTTGATGCAGGAGCATATGCTAATATAAGCATAGATGATTTCCTTCGGGAAGTCGAAATGTTTTTGTGGACTTGTGTTTTTTTTGCGAAAATCTGCAAGTGGCAGATATTCACTCCACTTGGGCTCTGAACACTCTTATTTTCATGTATACCTACACACATAGACACTGAACTAAGCATGCGGTAACAGGAATGACATATTTATTGTTCTGATCATCAGGCAGCCTTGGAGGCGCGTAAGTCAGTTGTTAGCGGGAATAGCCCAACATGATGGCCGGAGAATTTTCGTTCCGTTATCTAAGACGAACCAGCCCGGAACAAAGACACTCAAAGCAAAGAGAAACCGAAACTTACAGTGAGGACTACCACGGGTTTCTTATTGAGATTTCTTCCGACTCCCCGATCACTTCGATGCGTCCTTCGGCGGAGGCTGCAAGGAACGGACTGCGCCTGCGCCGTCGTTGCCTCTACCCTTGGGCTCGCTCGTCCAGTGCCTCTCTGGCCGGTGTCGCGTTTCGAGCGTGGAGGCGTGCTGCTGGCGGGAGTTGTGCTCGAGGTCGAGGTGACGGTAAGCTTGGTTATTTTAAAGACTTTTGAGCGTCGGTGTGTAGGTGCTTGTATTGCGGTTACTAGTGGCTTCAAGTAATACAAAAATAACTCGGCTGATAGTTTGTGAAAGAAAGGAATTGGGCGTGAAAATGCAAGACTTTAACTGCGTCAGTCGAGCTGGAATGTCGTCAGAGAAGTCAGTCTGTTTTAATGACTACTTCATGAGCGTTTTGCTACGAGGAAAAAAAAATTAGCAGCAATGAGCAGTGCGAACAGTGTGGCAATAGTATGTTACGTGTCCACTTAAGGATTACTGTCAACTCTGCAAATTTGGGATGACCAACACTTAGGGGCGTACACCAGCTTTCAGATAGGAAAAGCTAATTATTAAGACTAATGAGGAGAAGGGGGGGGGGGAGGAAGGGGGTGGTTGCGACGAGGCTGATCAACCAAGGGCATTGTCGAGCACCTGGCGGCACCCTGAGACTACCTCTCCCTGCGTAAGCACCTGCCGTCCACGCAATCGAGACTGTCCGCTTAGCTTAGCGTCAAAGAGCAGAAGATATTGAGAACTCGGAAACAACATAAAATGCACCGAACAAGACTTCGGAAGCCTGCCCGGTGCAATCAACGTGAGTGTCCGACTGATTCAACTATTTGAGGGAATTGCTGGTCGTTGCTTTCGACCTGGTGACACCGATGAGAGGGCCAGGAACGGTGGTTCGGATCGTCGAAAGAAGTATCCGAGTTCCCTTTAGTGTATAGAGTAACCCTTTTAGTGCCACGCAGCCGATTCGTAAGCTAAAAACGGCGATATATCGTTTCCCTGGCACTAAAAACAGTTAATATCTATTTAGCTCTTTGACGCAATAAACGTCCACGCAGTCCATTCGCTTAGACCCACAAGTACCATTTCGATGGCAGAGGCGTACGCAGGGAAGGGGTGGGCTCATGGCGTTGCCAATTACCCAAAGTGTTTCAATCGTGATTTTGACGATGGGGATGGGTGGAATTTTTTTTTTCTTTAGAAGGCCATGCTTATTGACTTGCCGAAGTCGAAGAGGAGAAAACGGACGGTTTGTTTGTAGCAACCCGAGCTATTAATGCAGTATGCAGTAGTGATGTAGGGTAGATTAATTTCTTAGGAATAAAGGAAAAAAAATGGAAAGCCCTCCCCCCCCTCCTCTTGGCGGTGGGAAGAAGGCCACACACCACAATCAAAGAGTATAACTAGAGGCGACACGGGGAGGGGGGGGGGGGTCGAAATATTACAGAGACATCTGCTGGATTGTCATCAAAACTTAATATCAATGAGTGGGATTCCAGCGGCCGAGGCGAGGGTCGTGCGAAATGAGTGAGGGGAGTCCACGTTCCTTTCGAAAACGCGAAGATGTGCCTTTGTCGCCTCGTCGGTTTTGCTTCCCACGAAATCTTCCGGAACGTTGATGAAATCCATCGGCATCGGCCTGTTCTGCATGTAGAAAACACGCTTTACTAAATCGAGACTTCCTCCCGCTCCACCCTCCATCGATTCCTGTCATTTCCAGCCAGGTGAATCAGAGGCGTCAATCGTGTTCCAAACGATTCGACGACGCAACGGCGGACAAGACGCCCTACGTCCTGAACCTATGGACGAAACACTCCAAAACAGTCCACATCCCACTGCTCCACACGACGGAAGGTCACGGCCGTGCCCGAGCGGCATCGGTCTCCCCTCTCCATCCCGGCATCCTCCGATCCTCTTCCGACGGGATCCAAGCGATCCCCCGGTGTGAACGGGTGGAAGCGCCACCTACCCTCCGGGTCCCGCGAATCCTCGCCCCGAACTCCGACAGGCTCCAAACGTTTCCTTGCAAACATTCACTCTCCGTAGAGCGCCTAACATTTCCATAATTTAACGAAAGCATCATTCGTGGAAAGTGGCGCCAGAAATGGCTTGCGTTGCTTACAGTTGAACATATTTACAATGTTTTTGGAAGTTATTTTCGCTTTGAAGCCATGAAAGCTCATTCAATCCATCCATGCAATGATGAGCTGCAGAAGGTTCGCTTATGGTTCCGTGACGGCGATCGCGTTTCTTGCTTGACAGCGAAGACCGCGGGAATCGGTGAAAATGATTTATTATCTTGTAAATCATTTCGCAACAGCAGCATGCTTGGAAAAAAAAAGAAAATCTGGATATGTGCGGAATACATTTTGATTTACACCCGAGCCTGCTTCTCGGTTTTATTGCTCTGTTTCCACCGACAACGGCCCACTTTATCAAAGGCTCCCTTATCGCCACTGATACCGTCGACGAAGGAATCGACGATCGACACCTTCCTCACCGCGAACCCCGCGTGTTATGTGCCCGTGACCCACACGCCGCATCTGCCCGTGACCCACGCGCGAAATGACCGGTTCGTTCTCTCAAGTAGCCAAAATTGTGGCAGAAAGGGAATTTGATGTAAAAATTTTCCAGGTTGGACCAAGAGGAAAGCCCTGTTCCTCGGCATCTTCATCGGCTTCCTCTTCTTTTCCATTTTTAAACTCTCTGACGTGCCTCTCACCACACTGTAAGCATAAAAAAAAATTACTTCCAAAAATGAACTTGCAATTAAACCCAGGATTTCGGTTTTCAGGTCGTATCTGCAGAAGGAGGAGGAATTGGAAACAAATCAGACGAAAAATCAAGATGAAGTGCTCCTCCGGGAGGAGACGCTTTATCCAGGTCCGTTTCACCTTCAATATTCCATTATTTTCACCCTTCATAAAAGTGTTCCATGCACAGGGGAAGTGAACGCGACGTTGGCGGAGGAGATATCGAAGAAAGTGAGGGTCCTGTGCTGGGTGATGACCCAGCCGGAGAATCACCGGAAGAAGGCCAGACACGTGAAGGCCACGTGGGGGAAGCGCTGCAACGTC